AGATGCGTTGTCAGATTTAAGTTGAACCACGGTCCTAGCGCGTGCCGAACCGTGTGTGGAAAACCGTACGGTTCGATTATTTCCCATGAACCGTTCCACCCCTAGTACACAGTTTGGATTAAATGAAATGTCAAATTTTTTAATTAGCATGTTTTTGTGTTTTGCTTTGGTACCGAAATTGGTACCGAGAACCGTGGATTTTCACTGGTATTGGTACCGAATACTGAAATTTTGTTACCGTGACAACACTATTCTTAGAAAAACATATTACTAATCAAAAATTAAGTTTTACGGTAGGAAATTTACAAAATATCTTCATGGAACATGATCTTTACTTAAAGCTGCAATCCGTACGTTTTGCCTTTTTGTCGCCATCTCTGTTTGAAAACCTGGAATTGCAGCTGTGTGCGGAATTATCTAGCTTGCGTGACTGTGGGTGTTCTGCGCCGGCACGGCTCCAGCGCGGATGGATCTAATGTTCTGAAGAGTATGTGTGGCAGTCAGTCACCGCACTGGTGTGGATATTTACTGTGATTCTAGCCTACGTCTTGGAATATGACCCAAATAAGAATTTTCACCGTATATTGCCATCTGAATCAGTAAGTAACAAGTCTGTCACGTTTGTTACGTTTGTTCTGAGGAAAAAAGGATTACCATAAATCTCGCTACCAATGGTATGCTATACAATCTTTGTAATCTTTGTAATTCTGTAATCAGAAGCACATTTATAACTGTAATATAATTTTATTTCATTCACATGTGTTTCATAAACACATAATCCTTTATGGATTAAATCCGCCATCAAAATGATACATTTAATTATTCTGGCTGCTGTGAGAAACGGTTATAAACGATCCGCCATTTGCAGCATCCTCACATGCGATAGTCTTGTAGCCAGGACAACTTCTTTATGTTTACAGACGTGACGTAATGACGCAGTGCCATGCTCTGCATGACAAGATTAATCGCTCCTTATATTGTCTTCCATTTTATGTAGCGTTTCATTCGGAAGTGTTTGAGATATCCATCTCACACCATATAATTTATCTGACACTGAACCAGTTTTTTTTTTTTTCAAGAAAAGCCAAAGCCAGCAAGAACTTGATTTATTGGTACAATGCAGCTCACAGTGTTGTGTGTGTATATATATCTTGGAGTGATCTTTAATGTGCTGATTAGAATGGCTGTCATCATTGTTATTGTATCACAACACAATATACAAAGTCATTTAAAAGAAAGTGTCATGCTCTGCCTCTCATACTGATGTTGTTATTCAGACTTTGACCTACTTTATTAATATAACATTATATCACAACTTTTTTTTCTGCAAATACACTTTTTAATTAATACTGCAGAGACACAAGCCACAGCCTAGTCAGAGAGGGTCCTTGCCCTGTAATAAGGGGGCCTGTTAGGTCCTTAATAATATGAGGGACCCTCATACTAAAATATATTTAGTAGCTCTATATTATCATGTATTAAAACCTATTAGAAGTTGAAAAAGTATAACATTACATTGTTTCCAAAATTAAATAATTGGCTTTTATAGTGTCACTGTATTAACAGCAAAAAAGTCTGGAAAATATTTACTTTGTATTAGGATCACAGTGAATCATTTTTTTCCTCTACCTACTACTCTATTACTGTTAGATGTCTAAACCTGAGAAACATTTACATTTAAATTTATGTGTATGGTTATTTTCGCAATGAATATTGTTACAATAGCAATTAAAAATATTTATTTAAAGCTGCAGTCGTAAGTTTTGCCTCTTTGTCGCCATCTCTGTTTGAAAACCTGGAATTGCAGCTGTGTGCGGAATTATCTAGCTTGCGTGACTGTGGGTGTTCTGCGCCGGCACGGCTCCAGCGCGGATGGATCTAATGTTCTGAAGAGTATGTGTGGCAGTCAGTCACCGCACTGGTGTGGATATTTACTGTACTTCGCAATCACAGATTCTAGCCTACGTCTTGGAATATGACCCAAATAAGAATTTTCACCGTATATTGCCATCTGAATCAGTAAGTAACAAGTCTGTCACGTTTGTTCTGAACCAACTGAGGAAAAAAGGATTACCATAAATCTCGCTACCAATGGTATGCTATACAATCTTTGTAATCCCAGGCTATCTGTAATCAGAAGCACATTTATAACTGTAATATAATTTTATTTCATTCACATGTGTTTCATAAACACATAATCCTTTATGGATTAAATCCGCCATCAAAATGATACATTTAATTATTCTGGCTGCTGTGAGAAACGGTTATAAACGATCCGCCATTTGCAGCATCCTCACATGCGATAGTCTTGTAGCCAGGACAACTTCTTTATGTTTACAGACGTGACGTAATGACGCAGTGCCATGCTCGAATTTCCTGCGAAAACCTACCCGTACCACTCAGATTAGAAAACATTATTATAAGCTAACCGTTGTGAATCGGGCTAAAGTAAGGCGATAGTTTTGAACACTGACTCGTTATGTACTTGCTCAAATATTGATTTCAGATAATTTTTAACCAAAAAAAGTTACGGACTGCAGCGTTAAGTATTAACTTCCTTTACAACTTAACAAATAAATGTTTCTTTATCCTTGACAAACACTGGCAATTTACTGCAGTGTTATTTTTGTCTTGCATTTATCCAACAGTATATGTAGATTGGCAGCTTTAATATCCTAATGATTTTTTACATAAAAGAAAAATCAATAATTTTGACCCATACAATGTATTTTGGGCTATTGCTACAAATATACCCGTGTTACTTATAACTGGTTTTGTGGTCCAGGGTCACATATGTCAATAGACTGTGTCATTGACACAAACCGTGTCACTTTTAAGGATTGTTTGTTATGGGCAAAATCTTTGTCATTAAAAAGAAAATTTTCCCGTTTTTTTCTCTCCATGATGCATTCTGTAGAATTAGATGATTTCCTTGTTTCCTCAATGTTGTGCAAAACTCGTATGGCAGGCTTTCTTCCTTGGAACACAAAAGTAGAGGTTAGGCAGAATGAGTCTCGGTTACCTTTCATTTTTTTATAGTATAGAAAAAAAGATAATAAAAATGAAATTGTCAGTGTAACTTTCTACCTAACATCTCTTTGTGCTGTACAAAAAAAAACGTTTGGAACAACATGAGGGTGATTAAATGAAGACAGTGTTGGGTGAACTGTTGTCCTAAACGAAACTGAAAATATTAGGCCTATATTCTTATTGGCAGCTAAAAGCATCAGATTGGCCAAAAATATTTAAAGAGATAGTTCTTCCAAAAATTTTAATTCTGTCATTAATTACTCACCCTCATGTCGTTCCAAGCCTGTAAGACCTTTGTTCGTCTTGGGAACACAAAGACATTTTTGATTAAATCTGAGAGCTTTCTGACCCTGCATAGACAGCAACGTAACTACCACGTTCAGGGCCCAGAAAGGCAGCAAGGACATCGTTAAAATAAGTCGATGTGACATCAGTGGTTTAACCGTAATTTTATGAAGCTACGAGAAAACTTTTTGTGCGCAAAGAAAATAAAATACACTCTCGTGAACCAAGACTGACACGGAAGAGAAGAAATTGTTGAACAAAATGATTATTTTTGTTTTCTTTTGCGCTAAAAATTATTCTCATATTTTCATAAAATTAAGGTTGAACCACTAATGTCATGTGGACATGGACACAATGATGTCCTTACTACCTTTCTGGATCTTGAATGTGGTAGTTGCGTTGCTGTCTATGCAGAGTCAGAAAGCTCTCAGATTTCATCAAAAATATCTTAATGAAATCTGATGTATCTATCTGGCATACGTCACCAGAGAGAAGTCTGTTGTTTTCACTGGACATCCATGTAATGTTTTGATTACACTACGAAGTAAAACTTTTCTTTTTATTAATGAAGTTTCATGAATATTTAGTGCGAACACTTTTCTTGCTGCATTAAAAGTCAGATATGACTGAAAGTATAGGCTTGAAATGCAGTGAGTCATATGTTAATTTAGTAACAGCTTTGTGAGTTTTGAGTGATTCATCAAAAAACTGACTCATGAGAGTCATTCGTCATTTGTGAATTGGCCAACACTAGTTGCTGTGTTTGTTTTTGAGCCAGTCAAGGTGACGCGACATTAATGTGTTTACATTAATGTTTCTAATTCTTCTACAGGTATGCAATGTGGAATAGAAAATATTACACACACACACACACACACACACACACATACAGTGTATGTATATATTACATATATATATATATATATCAGTTTAACGCGTCTTTAGATCAATTTAAAGGGATAGTTCACCCAAAAATTACCCCATGGTTTACTCATCCTCAAGCCATCCTAGTTGTATATGACTTTCTTCTTTCAGATGAACACAATCAGAATTATATGTAAAAATGTCCTGGCTTTTCCAAGCTTTATAATGGCAGGGAATAGTAATCGAGATTTTGAAGCAAAATAAAATGCATCCATCCATCATAAAAAGTGCTCCACATAGCTCCGGGT